AAGTGTATACCTCAAATAGACCAAGTAATATCATAATGGGCATTGCAGGGCTTGATGCTAATAGTAGCCCACTAGGCACAGAATAGTAGAAATTCAGTGTTGGCTAGTGGTTTTCAATTTCCACTAGCCAGTTTGGCAAGTAAACAGACTGAAATTGTCGTAACATCTAAAAACATCTTAAGATGTCACTAGCCACTTGACTTGTAAGTTGGATGGATAAATAGCTGACTTATTTTGACTTCTTCGTTAGGTCTGGTTGATGAACAGCAGAAGGTGCGAACTATCACTGCTCTTGCCTTGGCTGCCCTGGCTGAAGCTGCTACACCCTATGGTATTGAGTCATTTGATAGTGTCCTGAAGCCCTTGTGGAAGGGTATAAGACAGCACAGAGGAAAGGTAACTTTTGAAAATAACGTGCCACACAGCTTAGGGCAGAGTCTTGGATTCTCTCAAGAACTACAGAAATGTAAACACCTTTAAGGCCTCGATTAAATATGGATTATGTGGATAAACTGTTGATAAATGGCAAGATGTCAAGGTTTTTTTACCAAGGTGCAAGGAGTGGTCAATATTCGTTGAGATTTGATTGTACTGTTGTGAATTTCTCTTGAATTTCCTTAGCCATGTATTGTTGAATAGGGTCTGAGAATTTTGAATTTTGGGCTTACTATTGACTACAAATCTCTGCTCAGGCCGTTTGACTTGGAGCAAAACCTTGAATTAGGAAATGAAAATATTTCTCACAAAATCTAGCATTTCAATGTACGGTAATAATTTACACTCACATTTCCTAGGCCAAATCGCCAGGACTGTGAGTATTTAATTTGGGGCAAATTGTAGACTATGAATCTTTTTCAAAGGCCATGTGACTTTGATTCTGGAAAATGGAAATGTTTTTCTTAAAATCTCATTTCTTCAAAAGCCACGTACTGAAGAGAATCACTTTGCTGCATCATCTGTTCTGCTTTTATCACCATTTTGTGTCGGGAGATTTCAAAACAGGTTGATTAAAAAGTTTGGAGGTTTTGCATACTATTGCTTACTTTAAGCGTGTTTTTTCAGGGGCTGGCTGCATTTCTGAAAGCCATTGGATATCTTATTCCCCTCATGGATGCCGAGTATGCCAACTACTATACCAGAGAAGTTATGCTGATCTTGATTCGTGAGTTTCAGAGTCCTGACGAAGAAATGAAAAAGATTGTCTTGAAGGTAAAAGATAGCTTAAGGAGTCTGGTTTTTTTTTTATTTGTTTATTAGTTTGTTTGTTTGTTTGTTTGTTTGTTTAAACTTCAGAAATGGTCAACCAACTTTAAATTGTAAAACTTTGTAATAAACTCAAGTGCAAGATACAAAACAGACAATCAAGTTGTGGCAATGTACGCATTCAGTTGTTGGCTAACAATCTTTTGGCTTGTCTGTTTTCCAGGTAGTGAAGCAGTGTTGTGCCACGGATGGTGTAGAACCACAGTACATCAAAGATGAAATCTTGCCAGATTTCTTCAAACATTTCTGGCAGCATAGGATGGCATTGGATAGGAGGAATTACAGACAGGTCAGATTCCTTTCTCATTTCCTGTGAGGAAGTTTTTGTCTTAGAATAGGTTTTGTAATCCTTGGTAACACCAAGTACCAATAATGTCTAAAGGCTTGGTAAAGTATTTCAATCTCAGAATTTGAATGATAATTTATATTATGTATAATTTTTGACAGCTTGTGGATACAACCGTGGAGCTGGCCAACAAAGTTGGTGCATCTGAGATCATCAACAGAATAGTAGACGATCTCAAAGATGAAAATGAACAATACCGAAAAATGGTCATGGAAACAATTGAAAAGGTAACTTTTACCATATCGATCCTAAACACTCTAACATCAGAACGTCACCTCTATCACATAGGACATATATTGTTCTTTTTTTTTTTTAGATTCTTGCTTGTTTTTTTTGATGAGTTAAAGATAAAAGCTGTGTATGGTTTTTATCGTCAGACCATGGGTAACCTGGGCTCATCTGATGTTGATTCCCGCCTTGAGGAGCAGCTTATCGACGGAATCCTGTACGCCTTCCAGGAACAGACTCAGGAGGTAATTCCTTGTTTGTTTGTTGTTTTTTTATTACTCTGTCAAGAAGGCAGGCGATGAGAACTTAGAAACCATAATGGGCTAAGTTGTAGCCTCAAAGCAGGTCCTCGTTAGCAGCGCTTCGGCACCGGTGCCTTTTCTCCCGCAGGAAATTATGAGGCGAGTAAGGTTTGCAAGAGGTCTAGCACTAAACATGAGCATTATTAGTGCCAGACTCCCGACAAACCTCTCTCCAACTCGTCCTCCAATCTTCACGTGGGCGGAGTAAGGCGCGGCCGGGATGGCAAAAAACTAGGACCTATTTGCAAGCTAGCTAATTTGTCTTGATTTAACACTTGAGTTTTTGGGACAGCAAACAAAGAAATGAATAAATATCAACTAGAAGAACTAGCTTTCGGTTTCAAAGGATCAATACCTCAATATTTGTTCAGCAGAATTTCACTTTTTTCCGTTAGCTTTTCATTGAATCACTTTGCCTCAATTTTTTTGCCATGGCATTTCTAAGAAAACACTATTTTTCAAAGTAATTTCTCTGAGTTTTGCTCAATTGTTTTCCATAGGACATTGTTATGTTGAATGGTTTCGGCACAGTGGTGAATGCTCTTGGTAAGCGTGTCAAGCCATACTTGCCCCAGATCTGTGGTACAATTTTGTGGAGATTAAACAATAAATCGGCCAAGGTCAGACAACAGGCTGCTGATCTTATATCAAGGATTGCCCAAGTCATGATGACCTGTGGAGAGGTGGGTACATGTTTCACAGTCACTTTGTTTCTCTTCCTTTTTTTCTTCCTTTTTTCTTTCTCTTGCTCTGATTATGACTTCCGTTCAGGTTGTCAAAACATCAGTTACAACTACTAACAGTATTCCTTCTCTGGACCACTCTCACCCTAGCGATCAGACTACACCATCAAGTAGTCTTCCATATGGAGAGTTTACTAATTTGCCTTGCGCAAAGTAGAAGCGAGATCAGAGTACACATGGAAAATGCGAGAATTTTGAATTTATCAACCCCTGAATTCCTTGGGAAGAACACCTTTTAACGTCCTGTATTTTCTATACATAATGCAGCCAAGCAGCTGGCTATCTTATTTATTTATTTATTTATTTATTTATTTATTTATTAACTTCTTCACTACAAAGTATGGCAGGGGAACCGCAACAGCGGGTAGCCAGTTACTGCGGGCCCTGAGAAAGAAAAAGACTAGAAAAAAATTTTTAAAATAGATACAATTTCAAAAACAACTAAAAATGTTCAAAAATAGGTACAATTACATGCAACATGTAATGGGCATCGCAAGACTTCTACAACGATTACACTTGAGACATACAGTTTTGAACGAACGGGGGTTAGTAACATCTTAGGTAACACTAAGGGCGGAATGATAGTTTCCCCTCATAGTAGCCACAAAAGAATAGATACTGCCCATATTAAGCTCAAGTTCATCGGCAAGTGTGTTCCAAATTCGCGCAGATCTGATAAAAGATTTCTGAAATGTTGAAGTTGTATATCTACTGACTGTATATTTGATGACATTAGTGACATTATCAACATCAAAGGTTACTTTTCTTTAATTGACTCGCAAGTCACGATCGTAAATATGATTGTTTAGAGCGCGGTAAACATTTCCAAAACGTTTCTAGTATCCCTTTGTTTTGTCTTGTTTTGTATTTGACGTAACAGGGCGTTGTTTTTGTCAACAGGAAAAGCTGATGGGTCACTTGGGAGTAGTGTTGTACGAGTACCTTGGAGAAGAGTACCCCGAAGTACTGGGCAGTATCTTGGGGGCCCTCAAGGTGAGTGAACAAACTGCGAGGGAATTGTGATGAACGGATTGGTTTAAGAACGTCCAAAACAGTGAATTTTCTATAACGCTGCTTTACAGAACACCTGAAAGGTTTTCTTTAGTTTACATTGTAAATTGCAAATTTTGATGTGACATGCTAGAAGTTGAATGAGTTATTCACAGGGACTCTTGTAAATGAATTTTTTAATTGATTAAGAGTAATTCTACTCCAACGTCTTTCCCCTAGACGAGATTCATCGACAAGTTTCCATTTCTAACGTATTCGACGAAAAACTTTTTGCTTAAAAATTGCACCACTACACTTTGTTGAAGACTTTTTATCATGAATCCCCCCGAAGTAGCTAGTTCATTTTTTAAGACTGCGTAAAATTTGCAGACAAAGAGATGGCGATCGGCAAGAACAACGAACTTTTGATTTAATGGTTTTCCTTTTTTAACCATGAACGAACAGTAACTAGTTCTTAAAATAACGTTGCTCGCACGAAGACTGGATATTAACCAGTTGTGATTTGTTTGTTTACAGGCAATTGTTAATGTTATTGGAATGAACAAAATGACTCCACCCATCAAAGATCTTTTGCCGAGACTCACACCCATTCTCAAGAACAGGTACGGTCATTTTTACTCAAGCCTATACTTCCCATTTTATTGTTTTTCCTATCTTAACCAAAGTAATATTTAAGAGCGACCCAAGGCTCTAAGGAAAATTGAATGGAGCCCAGTGCTCCGGGGTGCCCAGGATATGCTTTGTATGAAAAAACTAAAATTCCTGACTCGCCCAAGAGCAAAAGTAAGGCGCCAGGGGCCGGCGGGCACCGCTAGACCGCAGCCTTGGCGACCCTACAACGAGATCAAACTGGTTCCTCGCGCATACTTGCCTGCGACAGCGCACGAACCTGAAGCGCGAGCAATAACGAAGACTCGAGCTCTGTTTAACCTTATCATAAGGCACCGAAAATTTTACTGATATTAAAACAAGCTGATTTTGTGTAATGTCTGTTACGTTGAGAGAAATTTCGCTTCACTCATGGCACCTCGAAACATCGTTGTAACGAAGCCTCATAGAGGTCCAGAAAGCACTTTTTTACCTGGTCTTTTCCTTCACCAGGCACGAGAAGGTACAGGAGAACTGTATCGACTTAGTTGGTAGGATTGCAGACAGAGGAGCGGAACATGTCGGGGCGCGTGAGTGGATGAGAATTTGTTTTGAGCTTCTTGAACTGCTGAAGGCCCACAAGAAAGCTATTAGAAGAGCTACTGTCAACACGTTTGGTTACATCGCCAAGGCAATCGGGTAAGTTACTTGCTACAGAGCTGAGCCAGGTCTGCAATTGTTACCTAAGGACTATCACTGTGTGTCATTTGTTCGCTTTTAAGTTGGTTGACACATTCAGCTGCTTGCTCGTCGCGAAATTTTTCGTACTTTTACGGACTTCCTACTAAAGAGATCTTATCAATTTTCTCAATGCAGACGTCCGCCAATTTCCTCCAAACTGAGGTTCTGGAAGCGAAGAGAAGAATAAGTTAATCAATACAGACATCCCATTCGGGAAATGAAACGCTTTCCATTTGCGTAGAAAATTTCTCTGACATAAGTCGGGTTATTTGGCCAGAGATTTTTCTTCGAATTATCTGACGTCGCATAATCAAAAATAAAAATGTGTTGATTAATACGAACGTCTGCTTACTTCATGTCTGTTATCTTGTCCTTTTGTTTAGTCCTCAAGATGTACTCGCTACTCTGCTCAACAACTTGAAAGTTCAGGAACGACAGAATCGAGTGTGCACCACTGTAGCTATCGCCATTGTTGCCGAGACGTGCTCGCCATTCACAGTCCTGCCAGCCCTCATGAACGAATACCGTGTCCCAGAGCTTAACGTACAAAATGGCGTACTGAAGTCACTGTCGTTCTTGTTTGAATACATTGGAGAAATGGGAAAAGATTACATCTATGCTGTGACGCCTCTACTGGAGGATGCTCTCATGGACAGGTTAGACAAATCTTTGTGGCGTTTTGTAACGAAAGTGTATAAAGTACATCTTATGTCAGCGGTACAATGCGGATTCTCATTGGTATCACGCTTTGATTGAGTCAGAAAACTCGTGCCATCCCCTCAATCAATCAGGTCATNGGCGGCGGCGGCGGCGGCGGCCGCTATCTCCAATCCCCCCTGTCGAGTTAGTTTTTTTAGTTACCGTTTATTACAGAATGACGTTATCACATTTGTCTATGTAACTTAATTGTTTGACTGGTCTTCCAATCATTTTAGAGATCTGGTCCATCGCCAAACAGCGTGTGCTGCCATAAAGCACATGGCCCTGGGAGTATCCGGCTTTGGCTGTGAAGACGCCCTCACTCACCTTATCAATTACGTATGGCCCAACATCTTTGAGACGTCGCCCCATGTCGTAAACGCTGTAATGGAGTCCATTGAAGGCATGAGAGTGGCTTTAGGACCATCTAAAGTACTTCAATATTGTTTACAGGTAGGAGGCTACAAAACTCTCTGATATGCGATGGTATTAAGGTAGTTTTTTTCCTTCGAAGTTTTTGTTTTTGACATTGGAATTTAATTTGTTTACCAACACCAGTCATTTTTCCCCACACCATGTCGAAAGGGAATTGTTTATTCCGAATAATTTTACGTCTTCCATGTCATATTATGTTGCATTACATGTCGTAAGGTTGCTTACCAGAAATGTTGTAAGGCGTGAAGCTATAAAAAATTCCTTTGTCTTACGTTTTATCTTTTCACTTCCTAGGGAATGTTTCATCCGGCGCGAAAAGTTCGAGATGTCTACTGGAAGATTTACAACAGCTTGTACATTGGGTCTCAGGTAAAACTGTCAGTAACTATGGATCACGTAGCTTACTCTCACAAATATCTTCCTCCTTGTTAGTTGTGTTTTCATTTGTGTTATTGAGAAATTGTACTCATACCATCGCTTTTTATCTCGTTGCAGGATGCTCTAGTAGCAGCATATCCCACAGCACCCAGTGATGAAAAGAACCATTTCTCAAGATCAGAATTATCTTATTTCCTCTGATCTAAGGAGAATATCCAAGCAATGGCTCTGCGCCGAACATCTTTAGCCATAGCATCGTCATTCGTTCAGTAATTTAATATTTTAGCCTTTCTAGAAAGCGTGCAAGTGCCATGCTGTACGTAACAGAACTTGAAGATTTTCTTTTTTGATTAGTTTTTTTGTTGTTGTTGTTGTCATTGGGGCCTGAACCTAGAATGACGCACATCAAATCAGTCTATTTAACTAAGAAATTTCAAACTTCAACTTACTAAAAAGACGCAAAAAAGCTGAAGATGGTATTTCGTTAGTGTAGAACCATTGAGTAAACGTTATACGAACTCTGAACTCTCTCTTTGCGATGAAGTAGTCGTTATTTTGCGACCTATTGATAAATTTTAGACGCAAAAATTTTAATCGAAAGTGCTGCTGTGCTGGTCGCAATTTCGAGAACTCTATGTAAAGGTGTGAGATGGTAATCAGTCTAAATTGTTATAAACTGAACGCGGCTTTTGACTTATTATTTTCGTGATAAGTTTGCTCAGGATAATTTTCAAGAGAAGTAGATTTGTGATTTATGTAAGCTGAACTGCGATTGAACGCAATGAAGGGTGAAACTTGTCGAAGTTGTCTACGTTCCTGTCACGTGATGCACACGAGCGCTTTTTAAGTGTTCTTTTTTTTTTTTCTTTTTTTTTTTCTTTTTTAAACCAAAAATCGAAGTGAATGCAGCAACGGTTTAAAACGCAAGTATATGTGACAAGTGAGCAAAGTGGTTTCGGGTAAACGACCTCTAGCGCGGCTACAGGTCTGTCGTGCTTAGCGCTTGCGCAAACTTTCCACGTCTTTCCACCCCGGGAGGCTTGAAGAGTCCAATAACGGGTACCGAAATCCAACCTTTACTAGAAGCGCTAATTCTGGAAGTAAATACCCGAGTAGCTTCCAGTACTACTCCAATTTTCAAACCAGTGAACCCCCTCCTTCTATCGCCCTGTTCAAAATGCAATGCGTTTCTCGCAGTTCAATCCCCAATGAGTACTTTGGAAGACTGGTTATCCATAATGTAAAAACCAAAGACGAGCTTTGCAAATAAGTTTCGCAAAGTGAACCTCGCTCTTCTTTTACGCACTGTTTAAGTTGTCCCACTTCTGTAAGGTTTGCACCGGAAGTCCAAACTTAACGAATCCTTGAATAATTTGGATATATCAACAAAGTTGAAATGGTAAATTGGCCACCGTAATGATTACAAAAGCTGACGTTTCGAGCGTTAGCCCTTCGTCGGAGCGAAGGGCTAACGCTCGAAACGTCAGCTTTTGTAATCATTACGGTGGCCAATTTACCATTTCAACTTTGTTGATATATCCAAATTATTTCGTTACTCCCACCGACGCAGCCCCAAACAGTTTCTTTCGAAACTATCAGCCTGAATCCTTGAATAGGCATAAATTGTGATGGAGAGAATTCCAACTTTGTCAGAAGGGAATACGTGTAGATCTCTCTTGTTCACGAGTTTATTGGGCGTGCAATTTTCCGACTTGGCCTGCGTTTGTCTTAGAAACCACGAAACTGAAATGCATGTGATGTAACTCCCAAAAATATTCCATGACCGGGGATAAACGAATTAATGGTTAGGAAGAATAAGAAAACGTGTTAATTTGTTTCTTTACTCCAATGCGAGCTTTGCAAAACAAAATTAGCTCTTACTCCCAAGTGTCTGAAGTTAAAAAAATCTTGGCGTGGTATGCATGCAAGAGTTATTTTTTCGGCTGGACGGGTCGAGGTGGGAAACTGTGCAACTGATGTTTACATTTTTGTAAAAGAAAAACCTTTTTGGGGGCGTTGCAGTAAATTCATCGCACTTCCCACCCCTCCCCTCCCTTCCTTTCCGGGCTTTCTGTACAGTTAGGTAATCAACAGTGTATTTAGAGGCATGTGGTTAAAATGGGGGAGCTCTCTATTTCAGCGCGCGCCTCAGGGGTGGGCTGAGATTCGCCTAAAGTCCATAACCTTAGAACTTAAAATAGACATTTGCTGCAGATTTGGCTGCTTCACTTTTCAAAGCAACGAAGGGTTCAAAGTTGGAGTCGTGGTAAGCAGGATATTTAATTGTTAATGGGCTGATGTGTAAGTGAGTCATCTCATGAATTTTACAATACGTATTTCCACGCCTTTATGCTTTATTGATTAAGATACTGACACGTCATTGATTGCTATTGAAGGACGTCGCTCTGAATACATTTCCTCTATGTTTTTCATATCCTAATTAGAAAAAATCTCTTGTACATTAAGATCAGCACCACTGCCGTGTCGAGTCAAATTCGTTTCATTCATACCTATCTAGCGTTTGGATAACAATCGAGCGCCTGTGTGAATTGAATCCAATAGGTATGCCTAATGTGTGCACAAAAACTTCCCGGAAAGGTTACAATGGTTAATTTCACGCGTGGGGTCAGTTATCTTTGGAAAAACAAATGTTCAGATTCAAAGAGATGATAACCGTTGTTGATGTTCCCGATGTGAGAAAATAGGTAAAACAGGGCCACTCGAAATCGAATTTTTTTTTGGTAAAAACGTTCATCGCATGAGCAGAGATTCGCCTTCGCATAAAATCTCCGTTTGGGCGCGTCTAATGTTGTTCCCTTAGCCGTCCTGAGGAAGGAGCTTAAGGTTTTCAGTGTCGGTGGTAACACAGAGTATTTCTATATACAGTATTTCTAAATTTTAAATAAATTCGAGGCGGGAAAATCTGTTTTTTGTGATGAGTTTATTTTGTGCGCTTAATTCATTGGGAAGATGCCGGGAGAGCAATTGATTTTCAAGTTCCTAAACGGCTTTTTTTGCTGTTTACAAATCAAGTTTAATCTTGGCACTCAGGTATTCGTTGTTCCCTATTTGTTTTTTAAATCCTTTTTTTTTCACCTATCAAAGTTTTCACCTCTTTCTTACTCGAGCTATTTGCATTTTTCTTTGTTTTGCAGAGAAAGTTTTATGTCAGTTTCTTCATGTAATTTTGGTTTCATTAATCATACGACTACTATATTTTAAGAAGTCACGGTTCTATTTAAAAGGTTACTTTTGAAAAAGTAAAT